GCAACTCACGTGACACAGTGGGAGGGCTTAGTGGCAGTTGTAAGTCAGTCAAGAGCTGTGAGTCATGCCGGTGCAGAAGGAAGTGCACACAGAGACTCGGATAACCTTGTCTGATGCTTCCTGCCCTGCAATTTTGAGCAAGCTGTGGAGGAGGAAACCACCTTACTGTTTATGGAAGTATTTTATTAGGGTCACCATATTTTGAAAAGCAAGAAAGAGGACATGTTTCCAGACGGACTACTCCACGGAAGTGATCACTATGGCAAATCTAATTTTAAATACCCCTACTATTTAAGCTGTGATAATTGCTACTAACTAGGAATATTCCTGACCTTCCAACCCCAAAAGAGGACATTTAAAAAGAGCCCAAAAGAGGATAGACATAAAAAAAGAGGATGTCCTCTAAAAAGAGGACATCTGGTAACCCCAGGCGTTGTACGTATAGCCTTGTAGTCTGTCTTGTGTCCCAGTAAGATTGGTGGACCATAAACAAACATCATGCACAATCCACAGGGAAGTTCAAGTTTCATTGAAATGAAAGGGATCTGCAGTAACCCTGGTAGCACTGTCATGCAGTTACCAGTGATCTCAGTGGTCTCGCGCAGGAGAACTTCCTGGTGGATTGAATCCTATGAGTGACCTTTGTTAGTCTGTCACATCATCCTTCTTTTTGCTTTGGCAGATGGGTTATGCATTTCCACAAGAGACAGACGCTCTTGCAAGGCTAAGAAATTATTGCGGTGGCTCAAGTGGTTAAGACGCTGAACTGCAGGCTGTGGAAGGGCGGTAGTTCAGCAGTTCAAGACCCAAGTGCCACATGATGGAGTGAGCTCCCGTCTCTAGTTCCAGCTCCTGCCAACCTAGCAGTTCGAAAGCAAGAAACTGCAAGTAGATAAATAGGTACCACTCCAGTGGGAAGGTAACAGCGTTCCGTGCACCTTGGTGTTTAGTCATGCCGCCACATGACCACGGAAACGTCTTCGGACAGCGCTGGCTCTTCGGCTTTGAAATGGAGATGAGCACTGCAACCCTAGAGTCGGATTCGACTGGCTTTCGAGCAAGGGAACCTTTACCTTTACCTATAGAGGTAGTGTAGGAGCCTCAGGAAGAACAAGGGCCATTGTCCTTGGAGGGTGATTTGCCCAGGATCAATCAGTCTTGCCAACTGGTATCCCTATGGAAGGGACGTGTGAGAGGTGTTTGCATTTCCCTCTAGTATGTTATAGGGTTCAAATGCGGAAGATAGTTCTAGGTCATGCTTCTTTGAAATACATCAGTGAATAAAGAAGTGGACTGTTAAAAGCTGACATGAATGCCCCCATCTTGTTTTTGTTAATGTTCATAATGAAGTGCGACCCCTTTATGATTAATCTCTAATAAGGCGAAGTGCATTTTCCAAGCCCACTAATTCCAAGGGATTTATAGTTTCAGGCACATGCCATCCTGTGGGATTCTGATGATCCGCGCTCCCCATGCTGCTGGAAACCTCGATTGGGATCTCAGTTCCCAGCACAGCCGGACATTCATCAACTTTACGGGGCCTTTCACCAACAAACGGAAGGAATATTCAGAAAGGAGGATCATTGGGTGAGCAGGCTCATTTCACAAGAAGATGAATGGGCTCTTTGTGCTTAGAGGAAAGGTACATGGCGTGTTGGCCTGACCTGTAGGACTTGTCTGAGCATCTTTCACCTTACTTTCCTCAGAGGTCATAGCCAGCACGAAAGGACCCTAGCATGGGACTGCAGAGGGTCAGTTTCTAGCACTGTGTTTGAGCTTGAACAAGCCATTAAGTTCTTGGTAGATGGGAGACAATGCTACTTGTAGGTAGGCTTACCTCAGAGCATGTCAAAGAGCCAATTTTCACTGGGTGTGGCTGCAGCCATTCTGCTTTTACTTAACCTTTATTGATAAATTCCCTGTGCACTTGAGTTAGGTAGTGGCTCGAGTTTCCTGCTAGATGTACTAGCCAGTTTGTTAGCCAATTTGGTGTAGTGGTTAGGTGCGCAGACTCTAATCTGGGAGAACCGGGTTTGATTCCCCACTCCTCCACTTGCACCTGGCTGGATGACCTTGGGAAAGCCATAGTTCTGGCACAGCTGTTCTTGAAAAAGAGCAGTTTCTGTCAGAGCTCTCTCAGCCCCACCCACCTCACAGGGTTTCTGTTGTGGGGAGGGGAAGGGGAAGGCGTTTGTGAGCCGCTCTGAGACTCCCTTGGGTAGTGAAGGGTGGGGTATAAATCCAATCTCTTCTCTCTTCTTCTTCGACTTAATAAACTAACATCATGAGACTGTAAGTGCTGCATGGCTCCTGAATTTATTCTTCTATTACTTGCAGGTACTCCATGCAGGAAATGTATGATGTTGTGTCCAATGTGGATGAATACAAGGACTTTGTTCCTTGGTGCAAAAAATCACTTGTGGTCTCTAAGCGCACAGGCCATGCAAAGGCCCAACTGGAAGTTGGATTCCCTCCCATTGTGGAACGTTACACATCCATTGTGACGTTGGTGCGGCCCCATATGGTGAAGGTGCGTCTTAGTGTGTTTCTGTCTGTGAATTTCTCCAGGGTGAGGATTCTCTGACACTTAAAGCACTTTTGTTAAGAACAGACACCCTGAATGAGCAATCTGCCCCCCCACTCAGATATCATTTCAGTAGGTCAGTTTGTAGAAATATGGAAGACTGGTGGGTGAGTGGGTGGGGTGGAACCCTGTTTTGCTTCCAACTTAGACACCGCTTGGGCCAGCAGTGGGTTCTCCATTGCAGATGCAGTCTGAAGGCTGACAGATGAACGGAGGCCATGGAACTGTGATTGGCACTCGGAGTCTGCATCGGCCTCTGCGATGCTTGCATGATCCTTGGTAGTCATGCAGAATCAGGACAGGCCTTATTAGAAATGTCGTCCCCTGACGCTGCCTCTGTTCTTTCCCTCAGGCTGTCTGCACAGATGGAAAGCTATTCAACCATTTGGAGACTAGCTGGCGTTTCAGCCCTGGCATTCCTGGCTAACCT